ACCACCACACACCTCACCAAAACACACCACCACACACCTCACCAAAACACACCACCACACAACCTCACCAAACCACCCCACCACACAACCTCACCAAAACACACCACCACACAACCTCACCAAACCACCCCACCACACAACCTCACCAAAACACCCCACCACACAACCTCACCAAAACACTTCACCACACAACCTCACCAAACCACCTCACCAAACAACCTGACCAAAACACCCCACCACACAACCTCACCAAACACCCCACCACGCAACCTCACCAAAACACCCCACCACACAACCTCACCAAACCACCCCACCACACAACCTCACCAAACCACCCCACCACACAACCTCACCAAAACACCCCACCACACAACCTCACCAAACCACCCCACCACACAACCTCACCAAAACACCCCACCACACAACCTCACCAAAACACTTCACCACACAACCTCACCAAACCACCCCACCACACAACCTCACCAAACCACCCCACCACACAACCTCACCAAAACACTTCACCACACAAGCTCACCAAAACACTTCACCACACAACCTCACCAAACCACCCCACCACACAACCTCACCAAAACACCCCACCACACAACCTCACCAAAACACCCCACCACGCAACCTCACCAAAACACCCCACCACACAACCTCACCAAAACACTTTACCACACAACCTCACCAAAACACCCCACCACGCAACCTCACCAAAACACTCCACCACATAACCTCACCAAAACACTTCACCACACAACCTCACCAAAACACCACACCACACAACCTCACCAAAACTCCACACCAGTGACACCACACACCTCACCACACAACCTGACCAAAACACCCCACCACACAACCTGACCAAAACACCCCACCACACAACCTGACCAAAACACCCCACCACACAACCTGACCAAAACACTCCACCACATAACCTCACCAAAACACCCCACCACATAACCTGACCAAAACACCCCACCACACAACCTGACCAAAACACCCCACCACACAACCTGACCAAAACACCCCACCACGCAACCTCACCAAAACACCCCACCACACAACCTGACCAAAACACCCCACCACACAACCTGACCAAAACACCCCACCACACAACCTGACCAAAACACCCCACCACGCAACCTCACCAAAACACCCCACCACACAACCTCACCAAAACACCCCACCACACAACCTCACCAAAACACCCCACCACACAACCTCACCAAAACACACCACCACACAACCTCACCAAAACACCCCACCACACAACCTCACCAAAACACCCCACCACACAACCTCACCAAAACACCCCACCACACAACCTCACCAAAACACTCCACCACATAACCTCACCAAAACACTTCACCACACAACCTCACCAAAACACCCCACCACACAACCTCACCAAAACACCACACCAGTGACACCACACACCTCACCACACAACCTGACCAAAACACCCCACCACACAACCTGACCAAAACACCCCACCACACAACCTGACCAAAACACCCCACCACACAACCTCACCAAAACACCCCACCACACAACCTCACCAAAACACCCCACCACACAACCTCACCAAAACACACCCACCCCCGCGACCAGCCCGTAACCTCATAAAAACACCCCATCGACTACCATATTGCAGTGGAACATCAACACTCATTTCCTTTATCAGCAATTTCTGGATCTATACTGTCTGAGTATATCTATAAAAATAGTCTCATATATCAAATTCCGCTGTCAGAACGTATCTCTCTTCAAAACCACGGTCTACTAAACTTATTTTTGCTATCACGCCTTTCCTGACGGTATCCAAACAATTGTAGGTACAAATTTCAGGTTGCAGAAACATTGATATACACTGACGGGCAAAAAAGGTATACACTCATGTTTGATGGTGTCTGAAATTAACAAAAAAAATAGTTATTCGATGTTGTTTTGATATTTGATAAGGGTAACATCAGTTTAGACCTGAAGTTTGCAGTGTTTCCGCGACTATATTCAGCCCAGTAACGTTTTGATAACGTTTGTATTTTTTTGTTCAAATTAAATTTTCAAGTGTATACTTTCTTCTGCCCGGCACTTTATCAACACCTGCAGTCTAAATGTAACTAGGGGATAAAAAATATTTCGCTTATTTGAAACCTCTAATTTATCCATTAAACTAAGCCCGTCAACAGCTCTTAAATAAATAAATAAATCGAGTCTCACTCACTCTGATTTACAGCCCTTGCGAATTCCGTGTCAAAATAAATTCACAGTAAACTATGCATGTCGTAAAAGACGACTAATTGGACTCGTGGGTGATTGGGTGTCATCGAACCCAAACGGCGCAGGGCGTCGCTCATAAAGTCAATCACTGGTTTGTCTGATCTGGTTCCATTATTTACAGGCCACCGTGACATCGCAGAACTACAGGTGGGTGTTACACAACAAAGAAGCAAAGATACATATCTTAATTACAATTCCGGCATCTGTGGAATTCCCTATGAGAACCGTGCCAATGTTATAGTAGGGCGTAGTTAAATAGACGTGTTCAGAAGACGGTATCTTCAAAAAGTTAAAATGGTTCAAATGAAAAAAATGAGGTGCCAACAATTCTCTATAAAACCTGGCATTCACACCAAAACCCATCAGTCAAAGGCAATTCCTCGCTTTCTCGGTCGAAGTGGAGCAAAAACTCTCAACCGCGAAAAAAAACCCAAACAAAAAATCATTCAAGAAGAACCAATCAGGTTGCCTAGTCTACCTTGTAGTAAGTGGGTCAGCCAAGAACTTCTTTTTCCAATCCGTTCACGAAATTCTAAACTCCAACGTTTTATTCATATTTTATGCAACTAAATTTTACATAACGCAAAAATTAATCATAACACAACGTCCACATGTAACGTTTTATACACACGCGCGATCCCCGAATCCTTTTGTGCTCTGGTTCAAATACAACCACGCTCTAACAACGCCCAAATTCCAAATATACCCCAGAAGTAAAAAGACAGATCCGTTCAGTTTTAATTTGAATGAATTGAATACAAGATCCTTCGTTAAATCCGTTTACTCGAGAGTGGTTTCCCTATTGATCTATTTGGCAGTCAAATTTCCAGTTAAACTCCTGAACCCGACAAGGTATGATATGAATCAGCCTAGACACGTGTAGCTAAGAGCGGATAAGTTGATTGAAAATCCCAATCAACCTGTCTGGAAATAGATGCGGCCTCACAGTGCAACTGTTGATTCGGCAGCGACGGCAGGAGCGGCCTGACGATATCACCACGCCCCATCACCGCTGATGACGGTGTAAACAGGAGGTGAAATTCTTTAAGTCTGTGAACAGGTGTGGGAAGCTAATCCCAACATATTACTAGATCCGGCGAGCTCAAACTGACCGCGCAATGCGTGCGAATTATGCTTATGGGTCCGGCTATTGAACATTGTGGGACATTAATTCAATTTTTCGAATTTGGAAATTATATTATTTTAGGAGTTTAAGATACGTAATTGTAATTTGTGAAGAAGTCGAATGATAGTTGAGTAGTTCATTGTTTGACCCCACACTCGGCAGTATTCCAGCTATATGACGGCGGTCTGTAAATAATCGAGTCTGGACCAGACAATCCAGTAGTTGATATCATGAGCATCGATCCACTCAATTGGGATCGATGACATGCATCAACCAAGTCAGCGAGCCTGACGACCCGATCCCGTTAGTCGCCTCTTACAAGCATAGTCGCCTTTTACAGCAAGTATGGGTTGCTGAAGACCTATTCCATCCCGGATCTTCACGGGTCCGATTGCATGCAATCAAGCAGGTCTTCGAACCACACACTGCAATAAAACACATCCAAATTCGACTGCACACATCACATTATTAATATTGGACTATGGACTGCTCAAGACATCCTTCTTCCTGTCTGTACACCCCTCTTCCTGTCTGTATACCCCTCTTCCTGTCTGTACATCCCTCTTCCTGTCTGTACACCCCTCTTCCTGTCTGTACATCCCTCTTCCTGTCTGTACACCCCTCTTCCTGTCTGTATACCCCTCTTCCTGTCTGTATACCCCTCTTCCTGTCTGTACACCCTTCTTCCTGTCTGTATAGCCTTCTTACTGCCTGTACACCCCTCTTCCTGTCTGTACACCCTCTTCCTGTCTGTATACCCCTCTTCCTGTCTGTATACCCCTCTTCCTGTCTGTACACCCCTCTTCCTGTCTGTACACCCCTCTTCCTGTGTACACCCTTTTTCCTGTCTGTACACCCCTCTTCCTGTCTGTACACCCTTTGTCCTGTCTGTACACCCCTCTTCCTGTCTGTACACCCTCTTCCTGTCTGTATACCCTCTTCCTGTCTGTATACCCTCTTCCTGTCTGTACACCCTCTTCCTGTCTGTATACCCTCTTCCTGTCTGTATACCCTCTTCCTGTCTGTACACCCCTCTTCCTGTCTGTATACCCCTCTTCCTGTCTGTATACCCCTCTTCCTGTCTGTACACCCTTCTTCCTGTCTGTATAGCCTTCTTACTGCCTGTACACCCCTCTTCCTATCTGTACACCCCTCTTCCTGTGTACACCCTTTTTCCTGTCTGTACACCCCTCTTCCTGTCTGTACACCCTTTGTCCTGTCTGTACACCCCTCTTCCTGTCTGTACACCCCTCTTCCTGTGTACACCCTTTTTCCTGTCTGTACACCCCTCTTCCTGTCTGTACACCCTTTGTCCTGTCTGTACACCCCTCTTCCTGTCTGTACACCCTCTTCCTGTCTGTATACCCTCTTCCTGTCTGTATACCCGCTTCCTGTCTGTATACCCTCTTCCTGTCTGTACACCCTTTGTCCTGTCTGTACACCCCTCTTCCTGTCTGTATACCCTCTTCCTGTCTGTACACCCCTCTTCCTGTCTGTATACCCGCTTCCTGTCTGTATACCCTCTTCCTGTCTGTACACCCCTATTCCTGTCTGTACACCCCTCTTCCTGTCTGTATAGCCTTCTTACTGCCTGTACACCCCTCTTCCTGTCTGTACACCCCTCTTCCTGTGTACACCCTTTTTCCTGTCTGTACACCCCTCTTCCTGTCTGTACACCCTTTGTCCTGTCTGTACACCCCTCTTCCTGTCTGTACACCCTCTTCCTGTCTGTATACCCTCTTCCTGTCTGTATACCCGCTTCCTGTCTGTATACCCTCTTCCTGTCTGTACACCCTTTGTCCTGTCTGTACACCCCTCTTCCTGTCTGTATACCCTCTTCCTGTCTGTACACCCCTCTTCCTGTCTGTATACCCGCTTCCTGTCTGTATACCCTCTTCCTGTCTGTACACCCCTCTTCCTGTCTGTACACCCCTCTTCCTGTCTGTATACCCTCTTCCTGTCTGTACACCCCTCTTCCTGTCTGTATACCCTCTTCCTGTCTGTATACCCTCTTCCTGTCTGTACACCCCTCTTCCTGTCTGCACACCCCTCTTCCTGTCTGTATACCCCTCTTCCTGTCTGTATACCCTCTTCCTGTCTGTACATCCTTTTTCCTGTCTGTACACCCCCTCTTCCTGTCTGTATACCCCTCTTCCTGTCTGTACACCCCTCTTCCTGTCTGTACACCCCTCTTCCTGTCTGTATACCCTCTTCCTGTCTGTATACCCTCTTCCTGTCTGTACACCCCTCTTCCTGTCTGCACACCCCTCTTCCTGTCTGTATACCCCTCTTCCTGTCTGTATACCCTCTTCCTGTCTGTACATCCTTTTTCCTGTCTGTACACCCCCTCTTCCTGTCTGTATACCCTCTTCCTGTCTGTACACCCCTCTTCCTGTCTGTACACCCCTCTTCCTGTCTGTATACCCTCTTCCTGTCTGTACATCCTTTTTCCTGCCTGTACACCCCCTCTTCCTGTCTGTATACCCTCTTCCTGTCTGTACACCCCTCTTCCTGTCTGTACACCCCTCTTCCTGTCTGTACATCCCTCTTCCTGTCTGTACACCCCTGTTCCTGTCTGTACGCCCCTCTTCCTGTCTGTATACCCCTCTTCCTGTCTGTACACCCCTCTTCCTGTCTGTATACCTCTCTTCCTGTCTGTACACCCCTGTTCCTGTTTGTACACCCTCTTCCTGTCTGTATACCTCTCTTCCTGTCTGTATACCCCTCTTCCTGTCTGTACACCCCTCTTCCTGTCTGTACATCCCTCTTCCTGTCTGTACACCCTTTGTCCTGTCTGTACACCCCTCTTCCTGTCTGTATACCCTCTTCCTGTCTGTACACCCCTCTTCCTGTCTGTACACCCCTCTTCCTGTCTGTACATCCCTCTTCCTGTCTGTATACCCTCTTCCTGTCTGTACACCCCTCTTCCTGTCTGTTCACCCCTCTTCCTGTCTGTACATCCCTCTTCCTGTCTGTATGCCCTCTTCCTGTCTGTACACCCCTCCTCCTGTGTGTACATCCCTCTTCCTGTCTGTATGCCCTCTTCCTGTCGGTATACCCCTCTTCCTGTCTGTACATCCTTTTTCCTGTCTGTACACCCCTCTTCCTGTCTGTACATCCCTCTTCCTGTCTGTATGCCCTCTTCCTGTCTGTACACCCCTGTTCCTGCCTGTACACCCCTCTTCCTGTCTGTATACCTCTCTTCCTGTCTGTACACCCCTGTTCCTGTTTGTACACCCTCTTCCTGTCTGTACACCCCTCTTCCTGTCTGTATACCCCTCTTCCTGTTTGTACACCCCTCTTCCTGTCTGTACACCCCTCTTCCCTTCCACATACCCATGCACATTGTTTCCAGTTAAAGTATCCAGTATACTGAGCGTATGGTCACTGACTACACATCACCCTGGGGAGACAAAAAACGAAATATAGTTTTTCCTTTTCCTTCCCAGTGGGAGTTTAAAGCTTGCACATTCTGTGGTTGATGACCCTCACAAACACACCGATCCCTAAACTAGCTGGAAAATAAATCATCCCGCATCCCGCGCACTGCATCCATGCACCTTCACCTATGATACAGTGAATGAGGATTTATTTATTATTTCCTGGATGATATTTCTTCATTTGAGTGCATTGTCGGGCTTTATGTGTTTTTGAGTCATATTGAAACAATTTAATGGGGAATTTGTGGAGAATGGGTTTCACAAAATGTAATTATGGGGAAATTATCCATTTCATACGCATACTACAAAATTCGTTTAAGCAAACTTGAGCGAGTGAGGTAATAAATTGTGCTTGGCGCCGCGGTCAGGGTAATGGAGGATATATCACGGCTATCTTTAAGTCTCACGGAGTAGGACAATCGTGTATCTAAACATGGAACTGGAACCAATGGAGTCGTCTTCATCTTTGCTCCCCCCCCCCCCCCCCCCCCCCCAAATCAGAACCCGAGTCAGAACAGGTACCAAGCAGTCTGTGGTATTCCGGGTCAGAACAGGTACCCAGCAGTCTGTGGTATTCCGGGTCAGAACAGGTACCCAGCAGTCTGTGGTATTCCGGGTCAGAACAGGTACCAAGCAGTCTGTGGGTATCCCGGGTCAGAACAGGTACCCAGCAGTGTGTGGGTATCCCGAGTCAGAACAGGTACCCAGCTGTCTGTGGGTATCCCGGGTCAGAACAGGAAGACATGTATTTACAGGAAGACATATATTTTCATGAAGACATATATTTACATGAAGACATATATTTTCAGGACGACATATATTTACACGAAGACAGATTTACATGAAGACGTATATTTACAGGAAGACTTATTTACATGAAGACATATATTTACATGAAGACATATATTTACATGAAGACATATATTTACATGAAGACATATATTTACATGAAGACGTACATTTACAGGAAGACTTTTTTACAGGTCGTCAAGGTATTTATGTTATACTGCTGAGTGCAACAAATAAAATTCACTCACAAGCAATCATTACTATTTACAACGAGAGCTGACTCGCATTTTTTAGGGACAATACATTTTCCTGTCTGGATATAGGGACAACTTTTTCATGTAATACTTTGCAATCAGTGACTCGTCTAGACATGCATACAGTATTTCAGATTAATCTTTCAAATACGGTTGAAATGTGCACCATCCTGCCATTACCAACCTCATATTTATATCAATTAGATATTCTGGAAATCTAGACATGCCAAAAAATTATTTTTACAATTTAAACAATTTTTTTTATTACTGACACTTTGGCTGGTTGGTTTGTTGTTTAACGCCGCTCTCAGCAATATTCCAGCTATATGACGACGGTCTGTAAATAATCGAGTCTGGACCAGACTATCCAGTGATTGATATGAGCATCGATCCATGAGCATCGATCAACCAAGTCACCCAAGCCTGACCACCCGATCCCGTTAGTCGCCTCTTACGACAAGCATAGTCGCATTTTACGGCAAGCATGGGTTGCCGAAGACCTATTCTACCCCGGATCTTCACGGATCTTACTGACACGTATTCAAGTAATAACATTTGAGGAATCGAACATAAATTTAAATATGATTAAGCCATGATTACTGAGAAAATGTATATTTTCTTAAGAACCAACTGTTAATAATGGTTCACATATTACCACATAACTCTCCCTGGTTGGAAGGTCGACGTCAAGGTCACTTTCGTAGAATCAGCCATATTGGCTAGTGGAGTGTAGTTCTTATGAAATACTTTAATATAAGATATTTGCATCACAGGTGAGATTCTATTTCGAAATTATACATTACTATCATAAATAATTGAATGGATAAAGTTTTTCTATTATTATATTAGCCCAACCGTTTTGGAAATAAAAGAACTTTGGATCAGATGAATGAAATATACAGAAATGGCTAATAATCGAAGTCTAACCTACAACCCGTAAGTTCATCTCTCTTCGTATTTGATTCGACAGAAACAATTACCATCTTCGTTTGAAGTGCCTTTTTTATGTTGCCCTAAAATAGATGAGATATGTTTTTCAAAAGAAGAAACGTCAAATGGCCACGAACTGTCTGTCCAAATAGTCACCGGAAAAATCACGAAACAACCAATCTGACTCTCAGATGACCCCATTCTGTGATGCGCTTTATTCCTCCAAGAGTACTACAAGGCATAGATAGTTAATGTGTTCGTCTAAATACAGTCAACCAGTCCGCCGTACGTTGGTATTTTAACCAGAATCACTTCATAAAGGCACCACCATTTCTGTAGGCTTTGAAGTCCTCTGTCCGATCAATCACATTGTAATACTACAGTTCCGGTTAGCATGACCAGCGCCCTCTATACTATACGTTATCTCGCTAAATCTCGTCCGGCATGCGAGATGGCCATTCCGTCAATTGACAACCGTGCAGCCGGGCTACAAAATGGCCCAAAATTATCCCAGCGTGCCCTAAATCATCCACGAAGCACCTAATTTCGTCGTGCTTTCAAGCGGTGCTCTGGCCGAGGGTGGTGGTGTTACTCTGTGCAGAATAGCTGTGATTGTTCCACCAAACGAGGAAGTAGCTTAAAGTCAGAGATATTTTTCTTGTATCATAATTACATTAACGTTACATCCGAAAAGGGGTGGTAGGAGTTCTTAGCTGTTGATGACCTATGTTTGGGATGATGCTTGTTATTTCTCACAACGTGAAGTAGATTCGTACATGCCGTATACATTGTTATCTATTACTCCGGACGCTGCCGTTTCCAAATGGTCTGGATTATCCAATTTCCGGATTAACAAATAGTGTCCTTATAATAATATCTCTGATCCAAAAAGGATCGCCCGGAAGACATTTCCGGTCTGTAGGAGTTCTGATTCAGGCGGTATAATTTTGAATGATTTTTTTATGTGACAGACGCCTCGATTATATATACATGAACCTTGGTTATCTGGATGAAACTTACTCAAAATACCTCAGCGTAAAGGTTTTGAATACAACAATCTTAAGAGAAAGGCAGTTCCGGATTAACAAGGGTCTGTTGTATTACTCTTATGGTCAGATTACATTGTTCGATTTCATAAGGATGTAATGTCATGCTATATTTTCCATTGTCAGCTCGGAGCAGGAAATTACAGCCTGTTTCATGGAGTTCCGTGAGGATTCCGGGTTAGAATCGGTCTTCAGCAACCCATGCTTGTCGTAAGAGGCGCCTTAAGAGATCGGGTGGTCAGGCTCGTTGTCCTGGTTGAAGCATGTCATCGTATCCTAATTGCCTAGATCGATGCTCATGGTGTCAGTTACTGGATTGTCTGGTCCAGATTCGATTATTTACTGACCGCCGTCAGAAAGTTGGAATATTGCTAAGTGCGGCGTTAAACAGCAAACAGACAAACAAATCATAGAAAGAGAGGTCACGATGTTTGTTGTTTAACGTCACACTTATTAATATTCCAGTTATAGGACGTCGGCCTGTTAATAATCGAGTCTGGACCAGACAATCTTGTGATCGAGATTGCGGGCAACAATCAACAAAGGCACCGAGCCTCACCATCCGATCCGCATGGTAACCCCTTACTATCAGCGTAGGTTGATGGGGGAATTATTCTAACCCTGAATCCCCAGGGGGTACGTAGTGTCGGTATTCAGAGAAGATATGTCAGTGTTATGTGTGGGCGATACGGGGTAGAATAGGTCTTAAGCAACCCATGCTTGCCGTAAAAGGCGACTATGCTTGTCGTAAGAGGCGACTAACGGGACCGGGTGGTCAGGCCCGCTGACCTGGTTGATGCATGTTATTGCGTGGATCGATGTTCATGATGTCAATCACTGGATTGTCTGGTCCAGATACGATTATTTACAGACCGCCGTCATATAGCTGGAATATTGTTCAGTGCGGCGTAAAACAACAAACAAACACAACACTTGACAGTTTACAAGAATGATCAACAACTGCACATCGTTCCATGGCGACATCATGTGACCGCCTCCGTGGTCTTGTGATAAAGCGTCCGCCCGGAGAGCGGAAAGTCCGGGTTCGATCCCCGGCCGCGTCATGCCAAAATACGTTAAAAGATGGTACTTGTTATTACCCTGTCTGGCGCTCGGCATTAAGGGGCTAAAACAAGGACTGGTCGGGTCGGAGTCAGTGTACTGTGTCCGATTGGATGTTGCACGTTAAGCTGTGGCATGGTATCTCAGTGGGCATCAGTCCGGACTAGTACAAGCAGCCACACACACACACACGTGCATGGACGTCGCTATATAAGTGCAATAATCTTGGACGCGACATTAAACCCCATTTTATCCACCATCTTTCCATGACAGTGCTGTGACCTCAGCGCAACAGGAGATATATGTCTTTACTGTCTAGACTCGTATCATGCCTGGAGCGGTTTTTAGCACATAAACATGACTTTTTTGTGTGACGTTGCTGATATTTTAGTTGGTTGCCATCATGGGTTCTTCTTGCAAAGAAGTATAAAGAAAACATGAATATTAGACTACTCGACATTAAGGAGTAGATTCTTGTAAAGACATATTTACTTATGAGATTACAAATTGTCTGATCGTAGACCCGGAAGGAGTGATTGAGTATGGTTTTACGGCGCTTTTAGCAATTATCCAGCAATATCACGGCGGGGGACACCAGAAATTGGCTTCACACATTGTACGCATGTGGGGAATCGAACCCGGGTCTTCGGCGTGACGAGCTAACGTTTTAACCACTAGACTACCCCACCGCCCCTCGTGGTAGGAGGGGTGTAGGGGTTGTGCTGTGTGGGTGTCCCAGTGGAGCTGTTATGACCACTTATCGTATGTTCCAAAGCAAGGGCAATCCTTGCACTAAAACTTTGTCTTGAGATGTTAGATCATCAG